CACACTGAAAATCACAGCATGGAGGTGACAAAGCAAGGCAGGTCTTTTGGGCTCATTGGCCAGTCAGCCTTACCTATTTGTTGAGCTGTTGGCCTGTAAGAGACCTTACCTCCATTTATGCAATGGAATATTACTCAGCTGTTAAAAACAGTGACATCAGGAAATTTGAAGACAAATGGATGGTTACCTGAGTGAGGTAACTCAGACCCAGAAAGACAAACATGATATGTACTCACTCATAAGTGGATATTAGCTAGAAAGGACAACCAGGCTACAAACAACAGCCCCAGAGAGGCTAGGCAATAAGGAGGGCCCAAAGAGGGATGCATGGATTTCCCAGGGAAGGGGAAATAGACAGGATCTCCTGGGTAAACTGGGAAAGGGTGGGAATGGGAACATGAGGGATTGGGTTGGGGGTTGGGATAGAGGGGGAGAGTAATGAAAGAGATGTCTTGATGGGAGGGGCATTTCAGGGTCAGGTAGAAACCTGGTACAAGGGAAATTCCCACGAATCTACCAAGAATGACCCCATCCAAGACTCCCAGCAATACTGGAGAGAGTGCCTGAAACGGCCGTCTTCTGTAATCAAATGTGTAAGCGTCATTGAAGAGACTTTGTCCAGTAACTGATGGAAGTAGAAGCAGAGAGCCACAGCCAAGCACTGGGCTGAGCTCCGGAAATCCTGTTGAAGACAGGGAGTTGCATGAGCCAGAGGGGTCAAGGTCATCACAAGGGAACCAACAAAGACAACTAACCTGGGAATCACAGGGGCTCACAGGTACTGGACCAACAGCTAAGGAGCCCACATGGTACCAACCTGGGTCCTCTACATATGTGTGATAGTTGTATAGCTTAGTCTACTTGTAGGACTCCTAGCAGTTGGAGTGGGGCCTGTCCCAGGTGCTTTGGCAGGATTTTGGGAATTTATTCCTCATACTAGGTTGCCTTAAAACAAGGGGAAGAGCTTAGTCCTACCTCAACTTGGTATGCCATGCTTTGTTGACACCCATGGGAGGCCTGCCCCTTTCTGAACAGAAACAGAGGAGGAGTGGATGGGGTGGGGGAGGTGGGAGTGGTGGAGGGAATGGGAGGAGAGAAGGGAGAGGAAACTGCAGTTGGGGTTGATCTCTGGCCTGCACATACATATGCACACGTGTTCACCTGTGTGTGTGCACACTCAGACATGAGTGTGCATACACACTCAGAGAGAGACAGAGAGAGAGAGAGAGAGAGACAGAGACAGAGAGAACTCTGTGATATATCAGGGTTCTCAAGAGTACATAGCAGAAGCTGCCAGCCCCCCACTTTGGACCAGGTCTAGGGTTGTCTCAGCTCCACTCTTGTCCCTTCCTTTCGTTTAAGTTGATCTAGAGGGACAGCCCAAGACAGTTGTGCAACAGAGTCTTCAGACACATGACTGCTAAGAGCACAACTGTCAGTTCCAGGTTGGGCACAGGTCACTAATGTGACCTATCTGGAATAGGAAAGTGGTTTAGGACACTGGATGTGAAAGACAGATGTGGCTCAAAGTCCTGGCTTTCATACAAGTGAGACATCTCTCAGCCTCTAATTGTTTCCCCAGAAAAGAGAGATGATGATAACAGCTACTGTGGCTAATTAGATATCGCTCCATGCTAGGCATTGCTCTTTGCTCTTTCCATTCAGAGCCTCATTTAAACTTCCCAGAGGACCTATGAAGTTGTTACCATATCCTATTACATTTGCAAGCAGACAAACTCAGGCACATAGAGATGACATCACCTGCTCAAAGTCACATGTCTGGCAAGTGGCAGTGCTGGGACTTGAACCCAGGCAGTATGGCTCCCTAGTGCATGCTCTTAATTAAGCTCTGTATTTCTTATTAGTAGTTGTCTCCCAGGATGGTGGTAAAGTATCAATGAGATATTAAAAGTAAAGTACTTGGTGTTGTGTGTGGCACAAGAATTATAGGGGTTTTGCGTATTTACAAAATTATCATCCTGAGAGGACCAGCTCACCAAAATAACTCATTCCTTAGCTGAAGACAAGATGGTTGTTCCCATTTTCCTTTATGTGGTTCAACACAATATTTCTACTTCAAACACCACTGGACCTATCTCAGTTATCATGCGTTTCTTGGGTTTTCTTCCTTGTCTACAGCTGAGGGATGGTATACTTTGCTTCCATGATTAGCTTTAGGTTCATATTCTGCCTCTGGCACATCACTGCTCGTTATATACGCCAGTCCCTGGAGCTGTGGCACTCAGGTGAATGTCCACTGGGACAATCAGAGCGAAGTTATACTGTGTTTTAATCAAGGCTGTATGTTCCATTTTTTCTACACCTATCTCCAAGTGCTCAGGTTTGGGCTGTTTCCTGACATTATGCATTTGTTTGTATATCTGCTTCCTTTCCCCATTTCCAACTTACTCATTAGGATTTTCTGATTGTAAACTATCTATTGGTCCCATTTAAAAACTAGAATTAAATCTATCTTTTCATCATTTGGTTCTTGCTGAGTATAGCCAAAGTAAAGACAAAGAAACACTGGGAGGTATTTTTGATTATTTTGATTATTCTGTTGAGCTCTCTCTCAATATCTGGTGCCTCAAGATCACATTTGTCCCCCTTCAAAATGTATCCCCAAAGTCCCCCATATACATCAACCCTAGTACCCCTTCAGAACACATTTCCCCTGTGCTCACATCAAAGGTTCCTCCCTGGCCTTGCAGCTTACATTTCTCCTCACCCTTTAAATGTTTTCTGTTAAGTATCCTGAATAGTCTTTGAAAAACTTGATGACGCTGAAAGCCCTCCAGTGGTTTTCGTTTGATTTACGTAAAATATATTATCAGACTGGGACCTACATTGACCTCCTCAAAGTGGAGTTTCTCCTTTAATCTCCCTCCCAACTCTTCCCCCCTTTTTTGCAGCATCTATCATTATCCAGAATTATTCTTTTTATTTTGTTGTTTATTGTGTGATCTGCCCCCATAACCCACTTTCTTCTCCGATCTGGTATAGAAAGTGGCATAAAGAGCAGTGACATATCATATTGATCACTGGATACCTTACTCTGGCATATGGAGGCTGCAATCAATGTACTTGGATGGATGAAGGTACATATTACTTTTTATGGGGGATTGGCCAGATAGTTTTGCTGTGTTAAGTGTTTTAATTGCTTTGGTTTTTTTTTTTTTTTTTTTTTTTGGTTTTTGCGAGACAGGGTTTCTCTGTGTAGCTTTGCGCCTTTCCTGGAACTCACTTGGTAGCCCAGGCTGGCCTCGAACTCACAGAGATCCGCCTGGCT